TAGCAGACAGTAAATCAGAGCGCTGCAGAAAGGTATTAAAGTGTAATGTGCTTTTGAAGAGTCCTGCCTTTTTCATAGGTGCTGACCAGTGCATTTCCCTGGTAGGGAGACTATGGCTAATCTCATTTAAGAAAAACACTTAGGGTAATGCCTTCAGGTTATAAAACCATGTGAGTAATGGGTTATGAAATGTTCATCTAATTACATTTCAATTATCAAATAGCTTTAGAATGGAGCAACAAGCAAGACATTGCAATGAATCACTTTAAAGTTCAATGAATGGATTAATGGAAAACTTAAAGCAATTGGTTATAGTATAAATTAATTGTTCATAAAGATCATTAGACCATGCAGAAGCAAATGAAAAACAAGATACGTTTTAGCAATGAAAAGCTGCATTCTTTGTTTATTAAGTGACAATGTGAGATTTATTTTATTTTTTGCAAAAAACAAATGCTCGTGTCACATGCTACTTTATGCGGTGAAGAAGTGTAGAGGCTTTTATGGCTGACTAAATGAACTGCCGTTGCTCACTGTGTCCTAAAATGCATGTCACACCAGGGTTACTGCTACTGAAGCACATTAAAGCTGGAGTCATTACAGTATCTCCAACAGCTGTTTTAAGTAGTCAGCCAGGAAGTTAGTCGGGGGCTGTGATAGAATAAAAAAAAAAATCTTTGAGAGTGAGTTAATGCAGTTTTGCAGTGAGCAAATCTGCACTCAGCCGATAGCACTGTTTATTGCACTCAGTTTGATCATTTCAATTAGTGAGAGGCATAAGGAAGCTGGGGAGAGCAGCAGTAGCAGTCTGTCTGCTATAAAAAAGCTCACTCATTTGGACTCGGGAGCTGAGAATACTGCAATCCGCACAGGCCACAAAAACAAAATGTCTTGCCCAGCGTGAGTGTGAACATGGAGAAAAGCAGAAATGCTGGCAGCACTATGCTGCGTCTGACACAGCACAAATCATGCTACCGCCACCGTGACTCAAACTGTGGGGACAGCTGGTTAGGATTTACCCCGTCAGGCTGCCCGCAACCACCCACACACGTACACCCACACAACATAGCTGCGGACACACGGTTTTAGACCAAAAAGCTGGTTTCTTTCTTGTCGCTGGAGCTAGCCATTTCTATTGTAGAGATGTCAGTAGCTACTGTGCTGTAATGTGTTGTAACAATACATGACATAGTACATAACTTAAGCAATAGAACAAGAGAGGGAGTGTGTTATCTCGAAGGCGAGTACAGTAGATCATCAACTGTGATGTTATTCCCAGTAACACATCAATTCTAGTGTCCTATTGCTTTTATACAACAGTTCTGCATAATAAAGAAAAATGTAAAGCAAAGAAGACGCAGACATTGTATTAAATGTGCTTTGATAATGCCAACAAGGGTGCCACCAGGGGTTTTGGGCCCCATGAAAAGATCTGGGCCCCACCACACCAGCCATCACTAGACCACACCAACCCTGAAAAAATAACACTGTGCAAAGATGCGTGCAACATTCTGCACACCTTGGAATTAACTTTTTGATGCAAGACTGATACCCTCTATAAGAAATGTACTGAATTTTTTACAGTTTAAAAAAGAAATTCACTGACCCCCTGCCCACTAACATGTTATTCAATACAATACTGTTCAGCTTGTTTATTGGGAGGGGTATCAGGATGGGAAGACAAGGCTGGTTCATCAGGAAGGGTATGGGAATGGGAACAGGGCTGGTTCATTGGGAGGGGTTTGGGAATGGGGGACAGGGCTGGATCATTGCGAAGGGTATGGGAATGGGGGACAGGGCTGGATCATTGGGAGGGGTTTGGGAATGGGGGACAGGGCTGGAATATTGGAAGGGGTATGGGGACGGAGGCAGGGCTGGTTCATTGGCAGGCTTTTGGAGATGGGGAGACAGGGCTGATTCATTCTGAGGGGTATGGAGATGGAGAGACAGGGCTGATTCATTGGGAGGGATATGGGGATGGAGAGACAGAGCTAGTTCATTCAGTCTGAAGCTGCATCTGTTGTGCCTGGCACAAGGCAGGGGCAGAGACAGCTGATTTAGTATGAACAGCTTGCTAAAAGTTTGCCTGCATTGATTAAATGTTGGCTAAAAGAGAAGCAAAATATAAAGTAATTCAAATATAATACTATGATAATTAGAATTGTCTTTGAAGATTCCGCAACTACGCAACTAATGTTAGACATGAGACACGATGCCCAACCAGCACTCCTCACTGCTAACAAGTACTGTTCATGCCTGCTTTGGTGGCAGGACCGAACCATTTCTTGTAAATAAAGTGGGGGGCTGGGCAATACAGAGGCTCTCTGGATGTTTACTTTTTGCCTGTTAGTTTTATATGTTAGCCTAGATCGTGAATAAAATATTCTATTAATGAAGATTGTAATGATGATATTGTAAATGTAATATTTGTAATGATGATATTGCAATGATGATTGAAAATGTAATTTTTCTAAAAAAATGATCATCATAATTTTTTAGGGCCTCTGTCAGTCAAAGCCCCCTAGAATTATCCTAAGCAACCCCCCACCCCCAATACAGCACCCCTGATTCGCCAATCCCTTCTGCCTAAAGATGTAGCAGCTTTTTGCATCACAGACAGATCCATAAACCAGTCACAATATCAGGTTCAGCTCAGCTTTTTCAGCATTTGCCAGGTTAACCTGCAATGTTGTTTTGCTACAGTCAGCCTTTAAAGCTTTTCACAGCTCGTCCTGTTTGCTATATTTTATCCTGTTCGTTTCCAGTCCCAGCTGTTCTGCCGTCACAGCTGCCAACTGAAAAGCTTTCTGGGCAGAATCTGATGTAGAGGTGCTGTCACACTCTTCTTCAGAATCAGTATTATACATATATGCCCTCATCTTACCTCCCTTGGTTTCGGGTCACAGTATTTGCAATATTATTGAGTGAATCATACATATCAGAGCCGTCAATCAACAACTCTGGTAGCCACAGGCAGATATGTATGTACTTGACTTTTTGTGAACTCGAATATACTTACAAATAAACGCCACAAAGATAGTACACGACTGAATAAAGATCAGTGGCAAGTTGAAGAGTGAAATCTGGACAGGAATGTGAGATTAGCTTTCACACCGGTAATCAGCAGAATGGAAGTTACAGTGAAAAAACTAGTAAAAAGCTTCTGTGCTGACAGAACTAATCAACTAAGTTGTATCCACTTCATTTTTCTTGTGACCACTGTATTTTGAGATAATGGCCAAAATATCTGGATGGAGAATGGAAGTGTCATTCATTACTGTTTTAGCTAACAGTTAGCTCAGTATGCACCAATAAATGTTTTTGTGGCTTTTCTGAGACAACATGCAGGTTGCAACTGTCAGTAAAGCCAAGTGAAGCTGAAAGTGTGGCAAGAACAGCGATGACTATAAACCGCTGAAGAAAGTGCAGTGCTTTCAGTTACGTATGAATGTTGTCATCACTCAAGCCCAGTTGTTAAGAGAAATTTGTGCCCATAAAATGCAGCCAGAACCGTCAGTGGAACATCACTATTTGCTGCTAGCAGACCCTCTTTAGAGGTGCAGTTTGTAAGATTTAGAGGGATTTATTAGCAGAAATGGAATACAGTATACAAAAACATGTATACATGTTGTCTACAAAAAGAATTGTGTTTTTGTCGGTTTAGAATGAGTCCTTCATAGCTACATAGGTAGCAGGTCCTCTTCCAGCAGAGGCCGCCATGTTTCTATGGTAGCCCAGAATAGACAAACCAAACACTAGAGTGTGGTTCTAGAGAGTGCCTTTCGTGTTTATACATTGAATTGGCAGCTTGAATGTAGTGGTGCTGTAGCACCGGTTAGAAGGCGCAGAAAGAAGAATAATCAGCGGGTGCTGCCGGTGCTGGCTAACGATTTTGTGTTGTGAGAAGTTCAGGAACCCACATTTTGACAAATTAAGAATCATACATATTATTTAGCGCAAGAAAAAGCAAGGGAGGGTGAATCCTCATAATTAAAGAAGCAAAAGTGTGATGGCCACCATAGTTCTACTACACACTTGGAAAGGGAGGGTTGAGGGAGGATTGAGGGTGTTCAGTTGGTTGCAATGCTAGATGCCATTAAATCTTACACACTGCACCTTTAACACATTTATACATTATATCCTCTGTAACTGGATATATTCTGCGCTCACTAGAATAGACTGAGCAGGTTAGCAGAAAGCTAACCGGCTAACTAACTTACAGGCTAACTCTAGTATCATACTGTACGCCTGCTGCAAGCTCAAAATATCAATGTAAACTAAAACTGACAAACTTGACTACAGTGCTGAGCTAATCAGAATAGCTTGGCACTAACCATGATGTACAAACAAGGAGCATTAATACAAAGATGATTAAAAAAAAGCAATTAATGCTCAATTAATTAATGCATAATTTTAACAGAATTTAATCATTATAATTAATGCATGCAATGCCATTGCTTTATGGTTTAATGGCTTTCCTGGAAGCTGAAATAAGATGATCTTATTAGCGAAAGTATTGTGTAGGCTATAAGTAGAATCCTCTGACTAAAGTCTCTAAAGTTTCTCTCATGCAGGTTGAGGTTTCTGCTTATAGATCGGCACACAAGCATCAAAGTATCCCAACACTAAAGATTATTTGTATTTGTATTTATTCCCACATTTTTATTGCATTAGGATATTTGTATTTAACATTTGTCCATTTATGCTTACTAAGTTCTGTCTGTAAGCCACTCAAAGCATCATGGGGCATAAGATTAATGTGGACAAAATGCAAAAATGTGACATTAATGTTGGTGACATCAGCTACACTCTCTTAATTATTCCATACACGATTGCATTTTATGCTCTGGTAGGCATAGAACTAGACTAAACCAGTCAACATTAGCAGAAAAGTGCAATGAACCTTCATGCATTTTTCATTTCAGTCCCCATTTCTACTCTCCCACCGGAAAATAACAATTTTCGGCAGTCTGATTATGTGATGAGGGGGAAAAAAAATATGACTAACCCATAGTTTCTAACTTTATTTTGTTCAGACGCAGTCGTGGGTCACGTACAAAATGTAAAATAGCACAAAAAAGAGATCATTACAATAATTGGTCAAAAAGTTTTTAAAAAAAAATCCCCTTTGCTCTCCACTATACACACTTGAATTTATTCTGACACACAGCAGAGAAAACCAAACAGAGTCCGCTCAGTGGGCTGCATGCTAGGCATCCTCAGGTTTATCTGCAGGTGGACCGCAGGGCTGCAGCATCTTCTCCATTAAGTTGAAACGCACACGAGCTTTGCTCTCGTTCTCAGCGATGGAGAAATAATTGAGGAGGTCAAAATGACCCATGTAGGAGCAGTACGAGTCTCTATGTTGATTCACCAGCCATTCCCACTTGGTGGTGTCTGCGTGGCCTGTGCCAATGTACTTGGACTGCAGATGCTCCAGCTGGCTGTGGATGTTGTAGCGGTCTGTCATCTTCAGCTACAGATGTGGGTTAAAGCTGAGGATGAGGAAAAAGGATCGTATAGCACTTATTGAAAGGATCATCACAATCATCACAATCATCTGTCTGCTTCAAACACTTCATGGAATGCATGTCTTAACGGGTCTTAAAGAAACAAGATCTTACTTTTACTTTATCACTTTAAAATTAAAAGGGAAGCACCTTCACTCAACTTACCTGTTTCGACTACTAATAATAATACTTAATTTCTAAAGCTGACTTTGCGTATATGCCTTAAAATGTATGGCAGACCAGTTCAAAGTCTGCTCAACAATAAGAATGAAAGACTCACAGATGATAAATGAGGTGTTTAAAGAGTGACAGCCATTCTTAAAGTTTCTCCAAGGACATTCAATCAATTTCTCAGGATGACAAAATCTAAGCTGAAAAAGACGAACAACTGGAAGGCAGCAAAAACGGAAGAAATGGCCCGAGAAATGAGCAGTCAGGCAAAAAGTGCTTGCGGAGTTGAATGTAAAAAATGACTTGGAGAGCTTTAAATGTCTACAAGTGATAGGTACCTACAATAATAAAATATATAAAATAAAATAATAAAACAAATAATGTACTCAGAATGTTGCCCAGTTTTAATGTACTCTCAATTATTCTATACCTAAGCAAAATTGTCTAGAATCTTCTCCAGTCTAGATCTCATTTCAGAAACAGTAATAAAATGATGGAGAGGGAAAGCTATTACTGAAAGAGGAGTAGACCATAAAGAAAGAATTGGGCAGTGACAGCTCTGAAAAATACATTTTATAACCTTCACACTGCAAAGCTGCTTTCAAGCCATGAAACATGACAATAACTCCTTAAAGCTCCTTATTTTATTACAATTTAAATTAAAAAGAAAGTACCCTGACACAGCTTAGCTAATAATACGAACAATAATAATAATAATTATAATTAGTATTTTTTATTATTATAACCACTAATACTAATAAATTCAATTTACAAAGAACCTTTCTCATAGTCAAGATCTTTGTACAAGCCACCTTTTTGTCTTGGGTTCACATAAAGCACTGTGAAAATAAAGAATTAATATTATTTTCACTGTTATTATTATTATAGCCTTTCTGACAGAGGAAGCACAAGCATTAGCATATCAGCATCACCAGAAACAAAGAGCAGTGTGTAGTCCTTCTTCCAACCACAGTGGTACAGATGCAAACACACCCACACTCTCCTGTAGTGCTGGGCTGGACTGTTTTGTTCCGTTTCCCTCTCTTAAAGGTAAACATTTATAATACTGTGTAAAAAAAAAAATAAGAATACAGAAACCACTTTCAAAGAAATTAAACCTACTATTTAGTTAGATTTCTGTATTTTGAATTGCCTTTTTAAAAACACATTTTTGTTACTCATCAATACCACTACAACTAAAAATCGATATTGTCGTGTAACGTTAACACCAATGCCAGTATAAACATCCAGCACATCAATGTAGGTGTATTTGTTGACACTGGGGGGCAAAAAGTTGTCAAATTCACATGATTCAAAAGCATACATTAGTCCGTACAAACAAAATATGTCACGTCAACTTAAATTATGTAAGAATAATTACGTCCCAACATATAGAAATATGTTACATGAACATAGTTTCATTCATGTGACGCTAATGTAAACATTTGAATCATTTAAACTTAAAACAACTTTTAAGCAACATTTTTCAGCACAGCTTACAACAGAGAGGTGTCTTACCATCATCTCTGATGATTACCTTTTATCATTCACATCCATTTTTTATAGCGTAATTTAAAAGCACCATGTGTGCTTGTGTGAACAGTGTTCAGCACATGGTATTTAAACACAACTGTTAACTGTTTACACTGTGGAGAGCTGGATTATGCTACACTAAGCCATTACTGAGGATAATGAGCAAGAATGATAAGACTTCTGGGTATCACCACACACTTTATACTAGGTGCTTGTCAGTCAGATGCTAAGATTATGTAACAGCATAGCACCTACTTTCCCCACAGATTTTCAGTTAGATACTGAATAATAAGAGATCATAGACAGTTGTTTAGGTTCACTTAAGAACATAAGTTTGGTTGCTGTGTTCATCCAGACAGAGAGATGCAGCCTGTGTACAGTGAGCGCTGAGTAATCATTTTTATAACAAAATCACAATTTCAAAGAGTGCAATATTCAACTGGCAGAACCTGGAAATTTTAAAGAAATTTTTTTAGGAAAGAATTGCAATTTAAATCATAGTCCCAATATTTAATCAAAAAACCCAAGTGTGCTAGATATTTCACTTGAACCGTTCAGCCCTTTGTACCTACATGTTGATAGTGATGGATCATTTAATTTAACACAAAATTTCCTGGAATAATCATGAACATAAGTATAAGATTAGCAGAGGTGGAAAATACTTGAGTAAATGTACTTTGTTACTGTACTTAAGTACTGCTTTGGAAGGTGTTTCACAGTATATTTAAAACTAAAAATGTATGCTTTTACACAACTGCACGTCCAAAAAAATAAAAAAAACAAACACATGCATTTTAAGCCTTACATTTACAGTTAAACCATTTCATTTACATTTTTTAATCAAAACATCCAAGCGGATTTATATCATTGTAAAATGAAACTGCCTACAACTGTGCTAATGTGTAATTTTGTGAGGACTGCCAATCAGTTACTGCATCACACAACACCAAACAAAGAAAAAATACATAGTTTGTTAAAACATTGTTAATGCAACACTTTTTACTAAAATCACTTTTGGCATTACTGATTAACTGAACCATAAAAAATTCTGAAATTCTTTAAAAGGGAGTTAGCCAGCCTACGATATATATTTTAAAAAGATGGTTCTTCAAGGGTTCTTTAGTAAAGGCAATGACTCTATTTAGAACAATAAGTTCCATAAAGAACCATTTCACGCTTAAAGAAATCTCTGCATGGTGAAATGGTTCTTCATATTGATGAACAATGTGTTGTAACATTATAAAAAACCTTTAGAAAATCGTTCTATATAACTAAGCTGTACACTATAACTATTGTTAAATGCTGGACATTCTAAACAGAACCACTACTTTTACCGCAGAACCCTTTAAGAACCACCTTTTTAAGTGTGAACGGCTGCAACATAAACAAAGTTAGTTAGTTAACGTTTTAATGAAGAGAAGCTGAAACAGACGGTGTTAAAGCGGACAGTCAGACAGCGCCGCGCTCTCTTTCTCTCTCTCACGTTACTGACCTTCGCCAGCGTGTTTAAAGTTATGGACTGACCTCGTTTTGAAGAGGCTCAGTAATAAACTTAAGCTGTGTTTTACAGAATGTGTACGGCTCCGTGAAAGAACCGTGTCGGTATAACAAACATGAGAGCGGAGCGGAGCGCCGTGCCTGACTTAGCGCTGCTGCTAAGCTTAGCAACCCAAAACTGACTGTTCTTTTAACGGAGCCTTACTTTGAAATAAACTGTTAAACTCTCAGCTCGTCTCTGAGAACCACAGTACCTTCTTCCAGAGTTTCTCTTTCCCAACGGGGATCCAGTGAATTCAGTAACTGTGAAGTGCTCGAAGCCTTTAGTTGTAAAGAAGCGGTGATATACAGCGGAAAGAGTTACTGCAAAATGCGTCTGGGTGCTACAGACATGAATCATCCGAAGGTTCCGCGCACAGTTCAGTATAGACACAGCTCAGTCTGTCAGCTCAGCGGAGAAGAGACGTTGTTATCCCCCTTTATCTGCAATTAGAAATGATTTCATTATATTATACAACAAACAGATAAGAGTGTTTACCGCGACACTGTGCAGTAGTCATTTCAGCGTCGTCTCTCGCTGATTTACAGACGGATTTACAACGACGGAATGTAAAGACTTAAAAACGGCTCCGAGTGCCAGCTTTGAATAAACAAACAAACAAATAAATGATATTGGGTAATCTTTCCACAGCTGTGAGACGTTAGTGAGCTGTTGAGGCAATAACTATGGCTGTGTTAGTATTAAAGTCTCTCTATATATTTACTCTTTCTCAGTGTCGTATCATTTAATAAAATGTTAATGAGACTGCAATCTCAGTAGACGTTATGCTTACATTTTGCAGTCTTGTAAGCAGGTAGGCAGTATTACATGTACAGCAGCTGTAGACTAATGAAATATATTTTTGTATAAAGCACTCTTTTGCATTTGTTTTCTCTGCACTGCAGGCTGCAGATGAACTCCAAATGTGCTTGTTTTATTTTATTGTATTTTATTTATTACTGTTTTGTTTATTCATTGTAGCTGCAGGCAGAAAGCAAACTGTTTTGCCATGGTTGAATTCAGGTGCCATTTGTTTACATCAAAGTTTGTTGTTTGAGTCAGGTTAGTTCTGAATTTTGTCCATTTTCAATTGAACGCCTGAAACTAGTTGAACTGCTTCAGTTTTTGTTTTGTGTTTGTGTATTTTGCTGCCTCAACAGTAACGTGTCCACCAGCAGCATCACACAAGCCCCAGCCTGATGGGCCCACTGGGTTGATCCATTAGGCACAGCGGTTATAGCTCATCAAGTGTTGTTTTGTCTCCGGGGGTGTAACGTCTGAAGGCAAATTTGATTTCCATCCTGATGAGATGCCTGTCTTATACCCATTCCTGCTTTCATTCTTCTACAGATGAGGAATGTTTACTTGTGTGACACATCATTGAAATTTATTGTATTTGGCATTGTAATAAATTGATGCATGTTATGTTAATGAGGCCTTCATGAGGAGACAGAGAGATGATGCAAGAGAAATGGATAACAAAAGGTGCCATTTTCAGGACACATTATTCATCCGAATGGCGTTCCTCTCTCATTAATGTAATTTAGAGGAAATGAAAGAATCCATTTCATTAGCAGAGCCATAATTTGCCCGTATATCATCCTTGTAATGCACAGTAATTCCTAATAGAGCACATAGTCCCATAGATCCTGTTTGCAAATTGTTGGTAAAAAGAGAAGCTGATTATAATGGCCTGGATAAGCAAAGCTTAGCCGCTCAGATTAGGTTGAGCTCTGTTTTTTT